GTAGCTGGGACCACAGGCGCCCGCCACAACACCTGGCCATTTTTTGGTTGCAGCCGTCATTGTTGTTTGGCAGGCCCAGGCTGGGGATTCGAACCCACCACCTTAGGTGTATGTGGCTGGTACCTTAGCCTCTTGAGCCACAGGCGCCGAGCCCAAAGAAAGAACTTTTAAGAGCTGATAATGTGGCTTGGCGCCTGTGGCTCAAGTGGCTAAGGTGCCAGCCACGTACACCTAAAGTGGTGGTTCGAATCCAGCCTGGGCCCGCCAAACAACAATGACGGCTGCAACCAAAAAATAGCCGGGCATTGTGGTGGGTGCCTGTAGTCCCAGCTTCTTGGGAGGCTGAGGCAAGAGACTCACTTGAGCCCAGGAACTGGAAGTTGCTGTGAGCTGTGATACTACGGCACTCTACCCAGGGGGACAGCTTGAGGCACTGTCTCAAAAAAAAAAAAAAAAAGAGCTGATAACGTTTAGGTGAGCCTGGAAATTTGCAGATGTGCTTGTCCCTATTACCTACCTCACTGGGTTTTTGTGAGTGTTATATGAATTATTATATGTCAAGTATATAGACCATTGCATGCCACAAAGAAGATGATGATATACAGTGATCCTCCCACCTCAGCCTATGGAGTAGATGGGACTACAGGCCTGCATCCACCACTACACTGAGCTAATTTTTGGTAAAGATGGTGTCTTGCTATGTTGTCTAGGCTGGTCTCAAATTCCTGCCCTTAAGTGATCCTCCTCAGCCTCCCAGCCTTCTGTGCTGGCTATGGGTTAACTATTATTAACAGTTTCATCTAGTTTTTTGACCTTTGCCTCTCTTTCTACCAGCAGGCTTTCCTGTCTAGTTAATGTGTTGGAATGAAATTGGATTTGCCCTGAATGGTGCTTAACTATGCATTCAACTAAAGTATTTTTAAAACATCTGCTACTTGCATACCTGCTTCAGGTTGTGGGTGAAAAAGTTCAACATCTTTACTGAGGAGTTACAGGATAAATGGTTAGTTTAGAGTATGAATCCACCCATCTCTAGACTGTTGGCTTTTTTGTGAAAAAGACAAGGCAGGCTAGGCTCAGCGTCTCATGCCTGTAACCCCAGCACTTTGGGAGGATAAAGCAGAAGGGCTGTTTGAGGTTATAGTGAGCTATGATCGCACCACTGCACTCTAGCCCGCTGGGAGACAGAATAAGACCCCATCTGTTAAAAAAAGAAAAATCAGCGTGGCACCTGTGGCTCAAAAGGGTGGGGCGCCGGCCCCATATACTGGAAGTGGCGGGTTCAAACAGCTCCCAGCCAAAAAAAGAAAAATCAAACACAAAAAAAGAGGCAAGGCAAATTTTCTAAGTTGTCTGGTGTCTAACATCATTGTTGCCTTGGAGTCAGATGACTGTCCATAAGCTTATACCTGGGCCAGTTCCTTTAATTGTTATTCTCATAATAACAACCCGAATCCTTGCCTATCTCAATGGTCTTTGTGAACTTTATTCTGAACTTCTAGAATATTTGGCTGCCTTGATCTTTCTCCAATGTGAATATAAGTTATGATTTTTTTTTTGGAAAAAAAATTTTTTTTTCAAGACAGTTTCAAGCTGTCACCCTGGGTAGAGTGCCATGGCATCACAGTTCACAGAAACCTCAAACTCTTGGGCTGAAGCAATTCTCTTGCCTCAGCTTCCCAAGTAGCTAGGACTATAGGTGCCCACCACAATGCCTGGCTATTATTTTTGTTGCAGTCATCATTGTTGTTTTAGCTGACCTGGGCTTGCTCGAACCTGCCAGCCTCAGTGTATGTGGCCGGCGCCCTACACACTGAGCTATGGTGCCACTTTTTATTTTTTTGACACAGAGTATCATTCAGTTGCCTTAGAGTGCCATGGCATCACAGCTTAAGCGATTCTCTTGTTTCAGCATCCCAAGTAGCTGGGACTATAGGCACCTGCCACAATGCCTGGTTATTTTTTTAGAGACACAGTCTTACTCTGGCTTAGGCTGGTCTTGAACTCATGAGCTCAGGCAGTCCACCTGCCTTAGCCTCCCAGAGTTCTAGGATTATAGGTGTGAGCCACTGCACCCTGCCAAGTGATGATGTTTTGTTTTTCTCTCCACCTGGAGCTACAAATAGGAGGATCTTGGGTACTTACCCCTCTTGTAAGAGTATATATATACCTCAGACAGGTTCTCTGAGCTCTGATACTGTTTGCCAGATAAAATCAGCTCTCTCTGGGAAGGATGAGCATTATTTCAAGGAAGGTAATAATCTGTGTTTTTTTGTTTTTTTTTTTTTTTGAGACAGAGTGTCACTGTGTCCCCCTCAGTAGAGTGCTGTGACACCATAGCTCACAGCAACCTCAAACTCTTGGGTTTAAGCAATTCTCTTGCCTCAGCCTCCCAAGTAGGTAGGACTGTAGGCACCCGCCACAACGCCCGGCTAATTTGTTGTTGTTGTTGTTGTTGCAGTTGTCATTGTTGTTTTTGGTTGTAGTTGGCAGGTGCGGGCTGGATTCGAACCCACTAGCTCTGGTGTATGTGGCTGGTGCCTTAGCTGCTTGAGCTACAGATGCTACCTAGATCTTTGTTTTGGTCTTATGTCTTATATAAGACATAGGAACTGTGCCCTTGGAGGACAGTGCAGGGACTGCAGTTTCTATACTGACCTCAGTTAAGAAGGCAAAAGCAGTTGCATAATTTAGCAAATGATTGTCCCTTCCTGTTAGAAGTGCTTTCATTATGAGAGGCAAAGGGCCTTGCGATGTTGAATTGAGGGTGGAGAAGGATGTCAGAGGAGGTTTGGCTGTGTTGTGTGTTGACAGGAGGCATAGTATTTTGCCTAGTTGAACTGTCTCCAGTGGGTGCAAACCTGGGTCTCTATAAGCCAAAGCACTGTGAGCTGCTGGTCAGGCAGACTCTTTTTAGCTTCACGTAGAGCAATTCTCAACCTGTGGGCCATGATCCCTTTGTAACAATGAAAATACGTCCTGCATATCAGATATTTACATTAGGATTCATAACAGTATCAAATTTACAGTTATGAAGTAGTAATGAAAACAATTTTATGGTTGGGGGTCACCACAACATGAGGAATTGTATTAAAGTTTGCAGCATTAGGAAGGTTGAGAACCACTGATGTAGAGTCTTTTCCTTTCCTCCCACATCTGGTTCAAGACTGAGAGAAATGCCTTTGGTCTTTGAACCAGCCTGCAGGAGGCCAAGTAGAGTGGGAGAGGGGAGAAGTTTAGAGTTTTGGCAGTGAGTATTTGCTTCCTTCTGACTTCCAGAGATTCCGACTTCAGTGGTAGCATCAGGGCCAGGTCCACTCCTGTGCATACTACATGCTGGCCTCTGCCTCTATCCTGGTTTCTTCCTCATGGAACATGACTTACCCCCAGCATGTCAGCCTCCTGAAGTCTCTTCCAACCTAACAAAAAAATCTAAAACTTGATCCCCACTCTCCCTTACCCCTCTTGGTTCCTTTACCTTCCATCTCTCAGGTGGTTCTTTCTATCTCTTGGGGCTTCCTTTTCTTAGCTCGCTTCTAAAGCATAGTGGTTTTTCAGAGTTTGCCTTCAACTGTCTACTCTTTACATTTTATGTATTCTCACCGGAAAACTTTGTCTTGAACCACTTTGATGCTGCTGACTTGACTTTTTCCTAGCCTAGACCTAGACCTTTGCGCGCACTTTCAAGCCTGAGTACACATGCGCTGATGAGCCTAGATCACTTATTCAGCAAATACTTGAAAACTTGTGCTAGGCCCTGGGACCACAGTGGTGAGCCAAAAGGATATACCTCCTGACTTCAAAGGTGACTATTTAAATTA